AGAAACAAGAACCTATCAAATTATTTTAAAAACTCGACAAGAAATGGAGCTGCTTTCTGCACCGTTCATTCTTATATACTTTATACATAGTATAAGTTAAAAGATTTTCAAAGTATTCTAAATATTTTTGCTGTTAAAAGTATTAAAAAACATATTTGAATTAATTTTTAAGTTAAAGTAATAGAGTACTGTTTTTCTATATTTTTCATTTTATAGAGGGAGGTAATTTGAACAAAAAAATATGAGGAGGTTAGTAAATTCCGTCTAACTATATAACTTTATAGTTGAACTTTCAGTTCAACTATAAAATGTCATTCATGGTGTGTGAATGACATTTGCAAACAACATGTCTGACAGAATCAGGACCATCCCCAGAGACCCAAGCAGCAGTGATGAGTGAAACAGAAACAGTGAACTATTAAATATAGACAAGAGAAAAAGCAACTGAACTGTTACCTTTTGCATGGTCCTACAGATGACTACCAGCATGATGATAAGCAGGACGCCAACAGCGATGACAATATATACCACGGTCATGTTTAGATTCGGTTGACCACGTACATCTTCCTTATGTGGCTTACTCCCTTAAAAAGCAAAATAATATACTGTTTTCTCCACAGTAAAAGTAAAAGTATACAAAATGACAAGTTGTCTAAGTCTAAAACTTTAAAAAAATCTTTTTTTTAATGGATGTCATTTTGCTTGTAGTATCTGTTTTCTTTCTATCAGAATGTTCAAACCAGCCAGACAAAAAAGATAGAATAGTAATAAACACAATGTGACAATCTTTGTCTGCAAAAGTTGCGTTAATCTGTGTGTTTGTATCTAAAACCAATTCACTGAAATTAAGCTGTCTGCAGGTAGTTCATATCTCTGTTTACACGTCATGCAGGATTATATTGTAGCTGATTAAGGTTTGTTGATCTACAGTGGAGGCAGTAAAGTAGAAAAAAAAAGAACTCACCAGCAACAACCAGCAGTATGGATCCCTGTCCTTTTTCGGTAACTTCTGTATAAGTAGCACTTAGTTTAGTATACATACACCAGTATACATCCGTGTCATTTTCATTCAAGTCTTTGATGAGAATATCCACATTTAGGGATTTTCCATGTGTTTGAACTCTATGTATCATTTCTGTATTAATAGTTTCCTTTCCCGTGTCTCTGTGTTTAGTAAAAATGACAGTCTCCATGTGGATGCCCTTTTTTAATTGCAGACTTTCATAATCAGAACTTGATTTGCACTGGATTGTGATGGATTGTCCAGGTTTTTTCCAAACCACTTTCATCTCTACACAACAAGAAATAGCACAGCTTTACAACCATAACATTACTTGAAACATGCATTTTACTTTTTATAATTTTGCTTGACTGAGTCTTACCTGCGGTGCAGCAGAGACATAGGATGGTAGAGAACTTAAGCCAGTTGGCAGACATGGTGATAGTTCGCTTTTGCTAAATTCAGACCAACTCTGGCACCACAGTCAGAAATGTCTTCAACAAGCTCTAACTTGACAGCCAACAGAAACGCATGACCTACATAAAAAATACCTTTTTATGTGGGCGGGAAGATGTCAGCGTCATCACTTGTCAACCCTCATTTATCGGTGAATAAAATCTACAGTGAAGAGAGATTGCAAGCAGCTGGTATAGGAAGTAGAAGTGCTGCATGAGAGCTTTTAATCTTTTCCGAAAGTGCAAGGCAACACACAAACAAGACTAACCAAGGAAAGCTCTCAGCAGAAAAGCAGAAGAAATCTTTATTCATTTTACTTCTGCTTTTGAAGTTGTTCTGTGCACGAGTAAACTTTAAACTTTCAGTTCATATAAAGGCTATGAACTGAAAGGTTTTCATTATTTCTTTCTTCATCAATCATTATGTCTCAGTTATATTACCCTCACTTTCACACTATTTATTCTGTCCTTAGGATTTAAAGAGCAGGGCTAGGGTAGTTTATGGGTTAGACAAGACCATATATTGTGACAAAGACACAACATAGCTTTTAAAAGGCTTTGAGATCTTTTTTCCCACTTTATATTTTCTGACTTCTTTGGTAAACAGAAATCAAAATTACAGTTTTCTCATTTGGCCTTTAATAAATATACTGGTATAGAATGGCAGGAGCTGACAGGCTAATTGAGAGCTAAAAAGAAACAATAAACTAAATATGGCGTATCTGTTTTTTTTTTTTTTTTTTTTTTTTTTACTTTAATTATTACATGTGACCAAACTTCATTCAGTGTTTTTTTTTTAGTTAAACTACAAACACAGTCAACTTTTCAGACTTCAAAACTTTACTGCTATGGCAGGTTTGCAGCCATCAATATCAGATTGACTCACTTTTTTATTTAGGTGACTTCTGAAGCTACAGTAAGAAGTCTCATAAGGGCATAATTACACACTTCGTCCCTTTGTTCTTTCACATGAAAACAAATTAAAGATATCAAAATATGTGATTAGCAGGTGAGGACATTTCATAAAATTCAAGGTAAAAAATACTTTGGCAGACCCGTCGTGTTCCAAAAATAAAAAGACAAGAGGTGAAATCTATTTTATTTTTATTAAAGGCATCCATTATGGCAAGAGCCTTTGCTTTATTAATGTTATATATTTTATAACGGTTGAATAGTCTTCCTTAAAATAGGTTATAGAGGGCCTCTATAACCATCTTTGTACTGCCCACTTGTGGCCAAAAAATAAAAGTGACTTACTGTCTTGTTCTCAACAAAACTAAGGAAGTTTTATCTGTCTGAGGATTAATTGGATACCTCTATGGGTCAATTTCTGAAAATGTGTCTAGAGTAAAGTCCTGATTCTGGTCACAATCAGGGTGCAGAGATGAGGATGTTGCTGTAGGTTGTCATGGTATGTGAATAAGCTCTGTTTAAAAAGCAGTTTATCAATGCATCTACATCCCAACTTTCACCTCTGGTTATCTCACATTAGAACTGAAATTTGAAGCATCTGAGATGGGAAGATTTTTCCTCCCTTTTTAAAACAGTCATCAATACCAAATTCAATCTAATTGGATGGGAACCTACGTTGCATTTGACGCACCACTACAAGATGAATCGACAGATTCGGCTGTATTCATTCGTGGCAAATCATTGCAGCTTGGTAGTGGTGACGTTAGCATAGAATTTGGTATTGATGATGTGAAAAATAATAACGGTAACTCCATTGAAATTATTCAAAACTAAAGTAACGAGCCAATTTGTTAAAATGTAAGGAGTAGAAAGTACAGATATTTGTGTAAAAATGTAAGGAGTAGAAGTAAAAAGTCAATAAAAATAAGTAGTAAAGTAAAGTAAAAATATCAGAAAAATCTATTTGAGTACAGTGACAAAGTATTTGTCTTGGGATCTGGAGAAGTACCACCTTTCTCCAGCAGAGTGCGCCGTGGGTCTCCTGGGCTGGAGCCCTCCTGCACACCTGGTTCTCGTCAGCCCATCAGGAGACCTGCTCTACTTAAGCAGCTGCCAGACCTTCCTTCAACGCCGCAGTGTTGACCAAGTTTGGTTAGCAAACCTGAGCCTCTGTGATTACTAGAATCTTCGTCTCCCAAGAGAAACCCAATTCTAACCTGCCTCTGTCTTCTCACTCACAGGAAACCTATCTCTTGTCTGAAGCTCTGGATGAGCTTAGCCTGTTACCTGCCTGCCTGCCCTAGAGAGCCAAACCTGAAGATCTCACTCTGGAATCCACCTGCTGCTCTCAGGGAAAGAGCTGATCAGTCAAACCAAGGTCTGTCACTGGAGAATCAGAAGCTAGACGCTGCTGCTGCTGAGCACTCTGCTGAACCAACAGTCTCTGGACCCAACCGGTTCCCTCTCTCAAAGGAGAAAGCCTGAACCTCTTCAAGGTATTTCCAGAAACATCTGAAACTCAACAATTCACCTGTTTAACTGGCCAATCAAACTATCCGTCTCTGCAGACGCCAGAGAATCCTGCCCGGACCAGTTTCCTGAATCCAGTCCATGTTGTTATTGTGAAAACTTTCAATAAACTCTGAACTTTTTGTCAGTCTCCAGTGGTGATCTGCATGTGGGTTTAATCCCTAAACCAACCATGACAATTTGTACTTCGTTACTTCCCATCTCTGGTCACTAACCTGAGTTTTCTTCTCTACAGAGATTCCGGCCTTTAGCTACTGAGTCGCAGATTCAACGTGTTGTCAATAAAAACTTTTTTAAATTACATCAGTCTGTCTGCCTGAAATTCTGGGTCCACAGTTCTGAGACATATTTCTTGCTTTTTCTTCTGAACTTATGTTAAATGCTCCAAATAAATAACAATGCATGTTTTAGTATCTTATATCCTTGTATTTCACTTAGCCATGCATCCCAGTAGCATGTCTCACTTATGACCCTTTAATCTTTGTCAAAATTCTTATATGTTTGCAGGTTTTTTATACATTTATCTAATAGGAATCCCTGACTCCCTTTGTCTGTTTAATGACGTTCCTCCTCCTTTCATTCTTCTCAACATATGTCTTCAATATAAAGGATTTTGTTTTTCGAAACAACCAACAAACCTCTACATCTTAGTCTTTTGCATAATGATCCTCTTTAGTTTTCTAGACACTGCTATTGGGCTTAGATGTATAATTTTATCCTTACATTTTAGAAATGTTCTGAGCTCTTCACAAGTGTTTCGAAAACTATCCCGCTTCCCTCCTCTGAGCTAATTTGCACCAAAATTTAGTTTGCAACTAAACTTCTCTCTTGTCTAATTCTTCTCCACCGTCTCTTTTGTCCATTCCTGACCTGAGACAATTTGTTAAAATCAGTGTTTTCATCATTTACCTTTGTTTCTTTTTTACTATTGCTGAAGTTTAGGACATTAAGCACATATAGCCAACCTGTAAACTCGACTTATGATCTCCATTTTATCATGTCTTGATTTGGGTCCTTTTTACAGAATCAGAGGCAGAATGAGGCCCAAATATTACAAATCATTGTCAATGTAGTACAGTAACTACAAATGAGAAATAAGCAAAGAAAATCAAGAATTTATTTATTAAAAATCACAATAAAAAACATTATCCTATAGAAAGTTATCTTAGTCCCTTAAAAACACGTTGAGTTTGACTGAACTATAGCAACAAGCGTACAAAAAAATCATTTATAACTACACACGCATTAGACTGGTTTGTCCATTTTATGAATGTGAGCATTTATTTATGATTAACGGTGCGTGATAATGGTTTATTTTATATGATTCGTCACTGCATTAAATGTTTAAGTGTATTATTATCTATTAATATTGTTTCTCTGATTAAATATTTTTATAATGTTTACAGTATACATCATGCAAAAAAACCTTTTAGCTTAGAATATAAAAGGATAAATTACACATAAAAGATAAAACAAGTATACATTTCTAATGTTTAACATGATAATGATCTTTTCCATTTTTACATTTGACAGCATCATTTATTCAAATTTGGCACCAACATCCACTTCTGTGCACACAAGAAAACTGGGTATAGGAAACTGTTAATGGTCTGAGGTGGGGGTGCAAAACTACTTAACGCGCATCTCTTTTAACGCTGTGGTCCAGGGTGTCACTTGTTTCAGTCGGGTTTGCATGCTGCAAACTCAGGCTGCCATCCTCGGGAGAAGGACCTCGCTGCAGCAAACAGAAAGGGGCGGGGACGGACCTTTCCGTCAGTCCCATACCTTATTTGGAAATGGGACTATTGCATTCCGGAAATGAAGGGGGCGCTATTTTCATAATCACTAGTATAAATGCCTTAAAGACGCGGGGTTAAGAGGAAAGGAAGAAGAAAGAAAGAAGTTTGAATATATATCCCAGAGTTTAAAAAATGTATTCACAAAAGAATATCAGATCAATTGTCGGTATTTACAGCAGAAATGGTGGCAGTTATATTAGGCTTGCAATGGGTGGAGGAGATTCGACCGATCAGGGTGGTGGTGTGCACAGACTCTAAAGCAGTAGTGGAAAGTATTAAGGGAGAAGGAAATAATAGAAAAGATTTGGTATTAGAAATTCATCATATTTTATTTAGACTATATAGGGGTGGCATTGATGTTTGGTTTTGTTGGGTGCCGGCACATGAAGGAGTAAAAGGCAATGAAAAGGCAGATAAATTAGCTAAAAGGGCTTTAGAGGGGGAAATAACGATTTCAATTCCTTTTGGAAAAGGGGAAGGGAAATCACTTATTAAAAGTAAAGAAATGGAGGAATGGCAAAAAATATGGAACGAAGATAGGAAAGGAAGAAGATTATATGAAGTGCAAAAGTCAGTTCGAATTCGAAACAATGAAAGAAACAGAAGAGAAGAAATAATAGTTAGTAGATTAAGAATAGGTCATACCTACTTAAATGACATGCTTTACTTAATAGGGAGGAAAAATAGTGAGAAATGTGAGAAATGTGGTGAAAAAGAAAATGTAGAACACATACTGATGAACTGTAAGTTATATGAACACGAAAGGGAAAAATTAAAGAGAATAGTTAGAAGTATAGGGCATGAATGGAATCTTAAAGGAATATTAGGAAATGAAGGAAACATAACAGATATTCATAAACTAAGGAAAGCATTGTTTTTGTATCTTAAGAATACAAAATTAAAAAATAGAATCTAATAGATGTGAAGTAACGCTGCTACACACTCATGTACAGTAGGTGGCGGTATGCACCTTAAAGTTGCTTGTGATCCGCCATAATAGAAGAGAAGAAGAAGAAGAAGAAAGAAGTTTGAAAAGTTTTTGCACTGGTGTTCGGCACACGATCCATAATGCAAAACCCACAAAATCAACAAAAGGTAATTTTACCTTCTTAAAATTTTTTTCACATAGTAAATTAATACGCTTTTCTAGATTCAGTTTTTTAAGAAAACCTTCAATTTGTCCTTTTTAAAAGGTCCAGAGAAGAACTACAAAAGGAGAGAAAGCGGAAAAAAGTTAATGAGAGGGCAAAATGTGAGGTAAGCTGTAGCTAAAATTCATCACTTTGTTGATTTAAGTCATAGAATTTGTATTATGTCCATTCACAGTGTACTTTTGTTCTATGCTTATTTTTTTAAGTCTGAAAGAAAATCAGTATAGAAGAATTAAAAGGGTTGAAGCAGTTTTGATGTTATTTGGATTTGCATTCATCTTTCACTTAGAACATATCTGTATTTTTACAGACTCTGTGTGCTGATGACCACACCTATGCCAAAGGAGCCGAGGCACAAATTGAGGTTCATTTTTTAAATTTACACATAACTAGTAATTTTGATTTGTGTATCTTTATGTGCAAATGAGACTAAAACCCTAAATGATTTTATTTTTTTTTTTTATTAAAATTCATTATTTGGACAACTTTTTTTTATATCATTAGAGATGAAAGGATAAGATACTGAGAGATATAAAGTATTAATTATTGTTTAATGCTCTTCACCATGCAGGTAGAAAGGATACCGCCAATCTTACAGGTAAGATTCATTCATAATCATATGTATCATCCATTCTTCCTGTATTACAGTCTTGCAATGCACCTGTTTTTTATTTTGTTTGTTTTTTTATTTTTTTATTTTCAGATGCGGAGGAGAGGAGAGTACCCTCGTTACTACTGTGATGGCATACCTGGACTTTGCCCTGAGTGCCAACATTGAATTCAAAGAAAATATAAGTTGCTTTCCACAATCTGTCACATATTGTTAGTTTTTTTGTGACATGCCATTTGAAATCGTTTCTGATAAAGAATATTTACCTTTTGACTTGTGCAGTCCTCCTTTTTCATAATGTGTTCTTTCAATATTATTTACATTTTTGAAAGTTCCTTTTGTTGTAGCTCAGTTGATTTACATCATTTAGTTTTCATAGAAATGGTGTTGTTTCCACAAAGTTACATTGTGGCTGTAATTTGTTGGAGAGACAGTAGAACCAATAAAGTAGTTGTAAATATATTGTAACAGCGTTGTTTAACAATTGGAAAATTTTAAATGCAAGCAAAGCTAATAACTTGCAATATACAATGTTTCCTATACATTTTTGAACAATGACTGGAATCAATACAAATTTTCTTTACAAACCTGACATACAGACAAGTTGTTTATGTTTTAACAGTTAGAATCAACTTGTTTTATGTAATAAAAAATAAGTTGCAGAAACATATTGTTCAGATATAAACATAAGATTAAACGAGCAAAGCGAAGGTGTAATCAGGGTGGAGGTGATGGAAGCTCAGGTGAGGAGCAGTTGCACACATCAAGCTGGACTTTATGAAGGGTGAAGGACTTGAGACCGGCGCCGTTAGGCTGGGAGGGAGGCACCTGAGCAGGTGATTGGCTGAGCAGGTGAGATGAAGACAGACTATTCAAAAAGGTTTTCATGTAGAAAAAAGATCATTCTCTCTGGTCGTTACCAGTACAGTGTCTACTGCCGGGATCAGAAAGTTGAAGATTATTGTCAAATGAACTTTCTAAAACCTACTTTCTGTGCGAGTCTTTCCAGGTTGAAGCTACATTTAAGGTTTTAATTAATCACTTTGGGTTTTGCTACAATTGGATATTCATGTTTTTGGAGTGCAGTTCATGAATTTATTGCAATTGATAAAATTAATATGGTATTTCTAAATGGAATAGTGGGACACCAGTCAGTTTACTAGTTGAGCTGGAGTCCTTATAGGAGATAATAATTGAGCCAGGTCACCTGCAACCAAGTATATTCTAGTTACCGAATGGCACTTGTTAAAAGTTCAAAAGTCCTTTGGTTTGTTTGTAAATTATATTCACAATGAGAATAATAAGAAAAAATATTTGGCAAATAAACAACAAAAGTGCACCGTGAATGGACGTACTAAGTTGGCCAAAATTGTCGACTAAATATTTTACAGACCAAACCTCTTTTCCATCTAGTTCTTATTAAATAAGCCAAAGGCTATTATATTTTAGATTTTAACTTATTTATTTTAAGAGTACCGTTCACAACATCAAAATATATTATTTGAACTTCAGCACCAGCATGTATTTGTTTATATCTGTTTTCTTAATCAGCGATGGACTGGGGATCTGTCCAGGGTCAGCAGCCTTCATGACCCCACTTGAGGATAATTCATAAAAATTAATGGATGGATAAATGTGCTCTTAATGTAATGTACATTTGTCTCCAAAATATTGATTTTATTTTATTTTTTATGATTTTTGTTAGAGATATATAGGGTGTAAGGATAGATAAATACATCTCCATAATGATTCCTTATTGTTGCTTATTTTAGATTGTTTGTTACTAAGATAATTTTAAATAAAGATTTCAAAATAAAAAAGGGACATACCACGTGAAAGACATGCCACGTGACATATCACGTTTTGTAGCCTTTTCTTTACTGTTTAATTAGTATTTTTAATGTTGAAAGTGTTCTTGGGTGTTTTGAAAGGCGTTGTCAAATAAAATACGTTATTATTATTATAATTATTATGAAACGGTCGGTACAGAAAATAGTGTCACTAGCGCCCCCGTCAGTTCCGGAATGAAATGGTCCCATTTCCATGTAAGGTATGAGACTGACAGTGGTCCGTCCCCGCCCCTTTCTGTTTGCTGCAGCGAAGTGTACTTCATCCTCGGCTTCATCTTCAGCCTTGACACATTCTTTGTCCTCATAAACCTTGGTGCTGGTGGCAACGCACGTCTGTTCAACTGTGATGTCAGAGGACTTGGTCTGTAGGAAGATTAGAACATATCAAGACATTTGTTGATCTCACAGCAGTTCATCAGCAAAAGTTGGTTTTAATACTTCTTAAATTAATTTTAATACATTCGGAATAGAAAAAACACAAAAACAATGTAATAAAAAACTGGAGAAATTTTGAAACAGTTCTGAATTAAAGGTGCAAATACATAAAAAAGTGTAAAGAATGATTAAAATATGTCACAAATAAGCGACAAAAAAAGAATATTTGTCTTGTGTAGTGTCATAAAAATACATGCTAGATTGTATTTTTTTTTGTATACTTTGCACTACTCTACACTCTCTTTGCTAAAAGTGTTGCACTCTCGATTTTTTACTTAGCTTCTTGAAGATATTGAATCTAAAAGTTATTTGCACAGTTCTCATCATAGATTCTTATGTATAGATAGAAATATTTCTATCTCCAGAAATATACACATATAAAATATTGCTTAATCTTTAAGAAAAGTAGTCTTATGAGACGACAGGACTGTTCACTCAAAGAGAAAGAGATCAATTAAAAAGGAAAAGCAGTGATAATTCAACCTTGCGCTTAAACCAAATGAAACCGCCTAATATGATCCCAAGGAGAAGGGCTGTAGCAGGGACTGCATACACCATAGGCATGTTCAGCTTTGGCTCCTCGGGGTCCTGCACTGCTTCTGCTCTGGCACATGAGTTTTCTTCTAAATTAGACACAGAGGTCACAACAATGTTTGTCGTTTAAAGCCCAGAATTAATACAGACAGTTTGTTAGGATACAGAAAGATCAAAAAACAAAGAAACAGTCACTTTAAACTTGCATAATTAAAGTAATATTAAAAATAATTCATTTTATTTAATGTCTGATGGTAATGTGTACGGCTAATAAAACGAGATGCATTTACATCACTGCTAAAAGTGATTTAATTCTGGAGAACCTGCGTGTTACAGACCCTTAGCCTACTGTTCATCATATTTCATTTTCTGTGCAAAACATAATTTTCTAACTAAATGCAACAGTGTCTTACAAGAAATATTACTCTTACCTTTTACCACCAGGACCACTGATCCCTCGCCCACTGTAACCATCTCCTTATATGTGTTTTTAGAATAAATGCACCAGTATGGTCCTGTGTCATTTAAATCCAAGTTTCTAAGAATAATATTTATTTTGGGGAATGTTCCATTTATCTGGACTCTGTCGACCAATCCTCGAACAACAGGTTTTTTTTGTATAGATTTTTCTGCATAAACAATGCTTGTCTCCTGCCTGAGGCCCCTTTTGAAATGTATAAAACTTTGACTGGATTTACTTCTGCATTGGAATGTGATGTATTCCCCAACTTCTCTCCAAACCACCACTTTCACTTCTGAATATAAAAAATGGAAAGAGCACCATTTTATAAAAGTTATGAAGCTTTAACAGTAAATGATAAATCAATCTTTTTGGGTCCTATGCACTCTTCTTAGGCTTACCTGCAGTGTAGCAGAGAAAGAGGATGGCACAGACCTTTACCCAGACACCCAGCATATCTACAGCTACCACTAAAAAGATTTACTCAAGCTTTGACACCTCAGTTGGAAATGTGCTCGGTTTTTTACCCACATCGATTAGACTCACGGCTAACAAGAACACGTGACACAGAGAGCTGGTGGTTTTTGTACTCTGACTTTTCAGCAGATAAAAAAAAAAAGTCAGGCATAAGCAGCTGAGCCATACATTAGAACTCATAGCATAGGATACCATCATATGATCTAACCCTGCTTTGAATTTCTCCACCCCTTGATCCCTGACTGTGTAGCTTGGCCCTTTATGATGATTTTAGTTTATCAATAATCAAACAACAAGCAAACATTTCAGGACTTCACAGAACTGCTGGACTTTGTTTACTAATTGGGTGAATTCAGAAGTCAAGAAAAAAAACCCGATAATTTCATATATTTATATATCCAAAAACATTTTATTTCTCTACTTTTTTCACTACTTTTTCACTACTGGCCGATAGAGGGCACTACAGCCCTCTACCTGATATATACCGGTATGTGTATTTAAATATGTATATATAATATATAATATATAATATATATATATATATATATATATATATATATATATATATATATATATATATATATATATATATATATATATATATATATATAGTGAAATAAAATTAAAAAATTCTTCAATAGGTATATCATCAAACTTCCTGTTCGGGCTGTATATTAAATCAACATAAAAACAAAAGTGTGTTTTATACAGACCTCTAGCCTTATCAGACAGGCTAAACAAAATAAAGTTCAAATGAAATTTAAAAGAAGCTCACGGATCACATAAAAGACAGCAGTCACAAAAACAGGATCATTGGAAAATCTCCAAAATAAAATAAATTCTTCCAAAACCAGACTATTGACAGTAAGTGGTGAGTAGAGGGCATAGAGTCATGCAGAAGGCAGGTTTGATTTAAAATAAAAGAGTTTAATATAAAAATGAACAAAACCTGGAAAAAACAAAATGCAAATGAAGGCTCAATTAAACTAGAGACTAGGGGCCAAAGGCTTTTAAGGTTGTTGTAATTAAACCTTTGCTTAAGAAACTGTCACTTGACCCAGATGACTTGGTCAATAATAGACCTTTATCCAATCTTCCTTTCCTATCTAAAATTCTTCAGAAAGTAGTTGCCAAACAAGTGTGCGATCACTTACTTCATAATGAACTTTATGAAGAGTTTCAGTCTGGCTTTAAAGCTCATCATAGAAGTCCTAAATGGAAATGAGGTGGAGTATTTTTAGCTGATTCTTCAACACACTAGAAATTCTTTCCAAAGACTTTTAATACCATGAAATAATATTTTAACCTTCTTGTAAAATTAATTTAGTCTTTATTAAATATGCTTTGTGGTTTTAAAATTGCAATCCTATATTTCCTAGCACACATGATGTATTTTGTTTTCTAAGTGTCTTCAGGAAGTGTGTTCTACAGTTTAATTTTGCATTTGAAGCTTTATGGAGCGTGTTAAATAGGCCATCGCCAAGAATATTCAGCATTATTAGGATAAGACTTCAGGTAGAAACAAGAAACTATCAAATTATTTTAAAAACTCGACAAGAAATGGAGCTGGTTTCTGCACTGTTCATTCTTATATAATTTATACATAGTACAAGTAAGAAGATTTTCAAAGTATTCTAAATATTTTTGCTGTTAAAAGCATTAAAAAACATATTTGATTTAATTTTAAAGTTAATGAAATAGAGAACTGCTTTTTTTATATTTTTCTTTTTATAGAGGGAGTTAATTGGAACAAAAAAAAAAACATTAGGAGCTTAATAAATTCCATCTAACCATAAATCCTTTTGACTTATTCATGGTGTGTGAATGACATTTGCAAACAACATGGCTGACAGAATCAGGACCATCCCCAGAGACCCAAGCAGCAGTGGTGAGTGAAACAGAAACAGTGAACTTTTAAATGTAGACAAGAGAAAAAGCAACTGAACTGTTACCTTTTGCATGGTCCTACAGATGACTACCAGCATGATGATAAGCAGGACGCCAACAGCGATGACAATAAATACAACGGTCATGTTTAGATTCGGTTGTCCACGTACATCGTCCTTATGTGGCTTGTTCCCTTAAAAAGCAAAATAATATACTGTTTTCTCCACAGTCATAGTACAAGTATACAAAATGACAAGTTGTCTATGTCTAAAACTTTAAATATTCTGTTTTTTTAATGATGTAATTTTGCTTGTAGTATCTGTTTTCTTTCTATCAGAAGGTTCAAATCAGCCAGACAAAAACATCAAATAGTGATAAACTCAATGTGACAATATATATCTGCAAAAGTTGCGTTAATCTGTGTGTTTGTATCTAAAACCAATTCACTGAAATTAAGCTGTCTGCAGGTAGTTCATATCTCTATTTACACGTCATGCAGGATTATATTGTAGCTGATTAAGGCTTGTTGATCTACAGTGGAGGCAGAAAAGTGAAAAAAAAAGAACTCACCAGCAACAACCAGCAGTATGGATCCCTGTCCTTTTTCGTAAACTTCTGTATAAGCATCACTTAGTTTGGTATACATACACCAGTATACATCCGTGTCATTTTAATTCAAGTCTTTGATGAGAATATCCACATTTAGGGATTTTCCATGTGTTTGAACTCTATGTATCATTTCTGTATTAATAGCTTCCTTTCCCGTGTCTCTGTGTTGAGTAAAAATTATAGTCTCCTCGTGGATGCCCTTTTTTAATTGCAGACTTTCATAATCAGAACTTGATTTGCACTGGATTGTGATGGATTGTCCAGGTTTTTTCCGAACCAATTTCATCTCTACACAACAAGAAATAGCACAGCTTTACAACCATAACATTACTTGAAACATGCATTTTACTTTTTATAATTTTACTTGACTGAGTCTTACCTGCGGTGCAGCAGAGACATAGGATGGTAGAGAACTTAAGCCAGATGACAGACATGGTAATTATTCGCTTTTGCTTTTGCAAAGTTCAGTTCAACTCTGGCACCACAGTCAGAACTGTTTTCAACAAGTTCTAACTTGACAGCCTGAACATACACGGACCGTTTCTGTTTGCTGTTAGGTTAGAGCTTGTTGAATGTTTACAACAAGTTCTAACTTGATAGTGTTAAGCAGCTGGTATAGGAAGTAGTAGTCCTGCGTGAGAGCTTATAATCTTTTCCGAAAGTGCAAGGCAACGCACAAACAAGAGTAACCAAGGAACGCTCTCAGCAGAAAAGCAGAAGAAATCTTTATTTTGCTTCTGCTTTTGAAGTTGTTCTGTGCACGGCTAATCTTTAAACTTTCAATTCATACAGTATATGAACTGAAAGATTTTGATTATTTCTTTTTTCATTAATCATTATGCCTCAGTTACATTCAGGTACCCTCAAGTTCACACTATTTATCCGGTCCTTATTTAAAGAGTAGGGCTAGGGTAGTTTACGGGTTAGACAAGACAGTATGCAACATTATTCCGACTTTAGATTTTATGACTTCTTTAGTAATCAGAAATCATCAAAGCTAGAGTTTTTGTCAGCCTTGAAACGTAGGACCCAACATTCAAACAGACAAATCCGAATTAGTTCAAACAGTCGTTATCAGCCATTTATTCTAGTCACTGACCAGAGTTTCTGTTTCTACAGAGGATCTGGTTTAACTGCTCCAGCTGGCGAGTGGTCGCGCGCAGTTTATAAGTAAAGACTAAGAGCAATAGTCACTGATCTGGTTCAGAGTTCAGTACGACTACAAAAGGATGTGAGGGATCTCAAGAAGGAGATTGTCTTTCGCTTATGGCGGGCGCCGCCCCCGGAGCTCTGTTTGATGACTGGAGCTGATGCCAACCGACGCCGAGGAGCAGCTATGTCCAGAAGGGAAAATCTGAGCCAAAGTTATAACAGAACCAAGTTCGTAAATCAGACGATAACAGAGCCGATGGGGTAAAGATGAGGGAATCCAAGCCGTGGTCAGATAAACAGTCTAGGCTCGGTAAGCCAGTAGAATCCAGGAAAGAGTCCAGAACAGATCAGACTGATAGAGAAGACAGGGGAAGGGCAAAACTCGGGAACCACTAGACAGAAATAGGTCACAATTAAGTCATCAGAACTATAATCAAAACGCTAGAGTTACTCTCACCAAACAACTCGAATAATCTGGCTCTGGTAGCTTGAAAACAAACAACATACAGTATATAGGAGATGGAAACAGGTGGATCAGATAAGCAATGATGACAAAATGGGCAGAGTGAAACAGTTGGATGGAAAGAACAATCAAGGAAGCCACCAGTGCCAGGAAAGTTTTACATGTACTGGTATAGAATGGCAGGAGCTGACAGGCTAACTGAGAGCTACAAAGATACAATACACTAAAGATGGTGTATCTGGTTTTTGATTGACCTAGATTTTTTTTTTTGCCTTAATTATTACATGTGACCAAACTAAGAATCTAATAAATAGGCTTTCATTCAGTGTCTTTGAATTAAACTACAAACATGGTCAAGTTTTTAGACTTCAAAAGTTTCTCTCTGGACTTTTGCAGCTCCTCCAGAGTTACCATGAAGCTTCTGGAAACTTCTCTGGTTTATATTCTTTTTCCCTGACTTTTCAGTTTTGGAGGACTGCTATGGCAGGATTGCAGCCATGGATATCAGATTCACTCACTTTTTTATTTAGGTGACTTCTAAAGCTACACTAAGAGGTCCTCTAAGGCTATAAGCTTGGGTCAGGAGACAGATCCAAGGATAAAGAAGGCAGAATCCAAATAGCAGTCTGAAGACAGGTCAGGCAAAACAGAAACGAGTCAACAGTTTATTAATATAGACTAAATTTTTTCTGTGTGTATAAGCCATGGAAAGAGTTTCTACTAATTTTCGTTATAAATTCACATTCTTTTGTCCATTCAGAGTTAAACAAGGTCTTGCATTTTCATTATGCTAATTTTCTGTCAATATTTAATTCTGATCCTTGTTTACTTTTTTAACTAATGACAAACAGATATTTATGTGACACAGCACCCCTCTTAGCCAGTCATCTATTAGATACTTGATGCATTTTATACATTCTATGATTGGATATTGTGATGCAGCCTAGCATAAATGGAAATATATCTGCTCTTCAAGCCTTGTCCCTACTAGAGGAGGACAAATACGCATCCGGATGCCTGAC